AAAATTTTACATAAAATAAATGAAAAATAAATAACAAAAATTACAAAAAAAAAAAAATAAATATAAATAAAAAATAAACTAGATATTAAAATCAATAAAGAAATTATAGAGAAGTAAACTAATTATGTTTTCAGCTGAAAATTGATTAGTTTTTAAATCTTAATTAGATACTCTAATAATGAAAAATAATATATTAAAATTAATTTATTAAATGTTAGTACATTAAAAAATTTAAGTTGTTAAACGATTGATTTGTTTCTGTTATGATTGTTAGTTAGATACATTCCGCTAAAGAGTAATCTGTACCACTTATGGTAAGTGACAGTCTTTAATTAAATAATTTAACTTTTAACTACAATCACTCAGTAATTTATTCAAATACTCAAATGCTAAATTTAGTTTTTACTATGTGTAAATTAGGAACTAATTCTAGTTTTTATTAGGTTGTTTTATAATTGCAATATTTTTTTTAAAATACGCTAAAAGGTTATTATTCAGTTAAATAATCAAGAAACTTTTAATTAAAATAAATTTGCAATAATGCAAGAATTGCAAAATGTTAAATGCTTGACTCACTGTTATTGGCGAGTAAATTCTCATGCAATTTATCGCGTTGATCCTCCAGCACTTCTCCCAAGTAGGCAGCTACTTTACGCGTAATTTGTTCAACGTAACTATCCAACTTACCCAAATCATCGGATAAACCGACAAGTTGATCTAAGGTACCAACCTGTAAAATAATAAAATTTTATTAATTTATTTTATATACTCGTACCATAAATACAATTAATAAATGAAATTAAATAATAAATAATTAAAAATTTGGTAAACTGTACAATTAATAAATAAATAAATGATATTGAAAAAATATTTAAATAAATAAATAAAAAATTTCTTTTTTAGTTTGTAAATTAAATGCTCTATTCTTTCCTTAAAGGCTAAAGGCTAAATATCACTTTTTATTCTCTTAATAATTCCATAATTAATAATATACTATATATATAAATATTGAAACATTATATTATCTTATTACCTTAAGATCGGGTATATGAAATTTGAAGTTATTGCACAAATTATTTTGTTTATTAGTTAAACTATTCATGGTATCGAATGTTTGCTGGCAGGTCTTATCGCCAGGTGCAGAGATGAGCCAGTACTCGGACATCTTATCGAATTCTATATTGAAGATAAAAAATATAAAAATAAATAATAAATATAAGAATTATAGAAAAGCATGTAGATATTAAAAGAAATTTGTATTTCATTAATTTTATAAACTTTATATTTTGTTCTAAGCCTGGCACCTGCAGTCCAAACAAATTATATACGGACTATAAACTATTAAAAAAATTCGATTATTTCCTAAGACCACTGATGATGAGTACTTGGCAATACTTGAAACAGCGTTGTATGGTTAGTCAAATTGCAATAAATTTTTGTCCTTGTCCTTTAGTTTCTTTAGTCATAAAGACACGCCACTATCGCCAAGAAAAAATTAACATTATTAAGAGGCTTTGAAATGAACTATTAAATGCCCTGAAATTACTTGCGAAAACTGACAGATTTACCAACTTACCAACACCGCGTTATCAAATCTCAGAATGGTTACAGGCTCCTCGGGGAGGTATGCAGATCTGAGGTCAATTATTGCTTAGTCTGATGAAGTGATGAACAATAATCTAGTCAAGGCGTAAAGAGGGGTTTTGAAAATACCTCGAGTTAAGAAAGAGTATGTTAAAAGTGCTTAAGTGCACTGGCTTAAACAGCTTCTACATAATAAAAAATAACTAATCAAAGAGACAATTTTATGTGAAATAATAAAAAACCAAAAATGATTTAAAAAGTTCTATAATAAGCTGTATTCATACGTTATTGATTAACTATCTGTTTTACCACCTTAACTGCAAAATAAGTTTTATTTTTTATTAACAAAGTAAACACTGTTTGTAATATAAATAAATAGTGATGGAAAACAGTGTTTGAAAAACTATTAAAAGTAGAGTTCATATTGTATTCTGCTATGTCCCTATATATCCTGTCAATTTCCTGATATGTAACTACAAACGTACGAGTTGTCTACAATGCATTAAATAACAAATTCAAGTGTAAAGTCATTAATAAGATTACATACAGGTAGCAAATTCAGTTTGAAAGTCAAAGTCAAAGGACATCGTACATGTCATATCATACGTGCCTTATTAATGATAGTTTTCTACTTATAAACCAAATGGGGTTTCGCTCGGATTACGGAACTCATACTACTCATGACAATTTCAAATTAAAAATTGATTGCAATAAGTTCAAGCGAAATAAAGTGGTTCGTGGTAAACGTTATGAAAAATGCAACGATGCAGCAACATTTTGGTCAGATCCACTCGTGCCAACCATAATTGAGTTGTGGGGACCTAGGCCAGCTGACCATGAAACCAAACATTACACGGAAATTGCTAATTTATTTTCTATTGAACATATAATTTGCATGCAAGTAATTTGAATCAAAAAGCAAGAGTAACTTTTTTACAGTGAAATCATATTGAATGATTAATTAAATTCAGAATATTTTAGTATCTTTTCATTATTAAAATAATTTAATTAATGAGTAGATGCAACAAAGAAAATTAAATTGTATTAAAAAGGAGACTTAAATATAGTAGGAATATATATATTTATGATATAGAGTATACATTTACATATAAAAAAAATATATAATGTCATGTTTTTCTTGAAATTATATATGCTTATTAGTCCGTATATAACAAATTAATGTTAGGGAGTTGGACACACCATTCTTACGACGGTCGATCTGACGATGCATAAAGCATTCTGGCTCCTCACCACAAAAAAAAACAATATATATATATACAATATATCTGATTTAGATTTCTCATTAAATTCTGGTTATAAAACGAATTATTAGAATAGCAGAAATATTTTTTAAACATTTTTTATATGGTGTACCTTTCGCAATACATTGCAATAATTAAATAAAAATAAAAATAATATACACAAAAATAAAAAAATTAAATTTGTTTATATATTTTTATTTATTAGTTTTTGAAGTTGGCATCTGTAGTTCTAAAATGGTCGGAATACCCTTAATTAATAGGAATTCAGAACCCTATCTATTTCTATTTTTATTATTTTTCTATTATAGAAACAAGAGATTCTATTTTTTATTTGTATTAAAAAAAAACAGTTCAAAAAAACATTCTATATTTAATTAACACATATTTATTAATTAATCGAGTATTATTATTATTTTTTATTTATTACTATTATTTTTTATTTATTATTATTATTTTTTTGAAGTTAAGTAGTTGGCATGTGTAGTTCATCTGTGGTCAGAATGCCCTAAATTGATTGGAATCCAGAACCTTGTCTTTTTCTATTTTAATTATTTTTCTATTTCTATTATTTTTTTATTTTTTATTTATATATTTAATTAACACATATTTAATAATTTTACGATTTTTATTATCTATTCACCAAAGTAGATTTTTACATACTTTATTGCTGAAATCTATTTGTGTTACATAAAATTTTCTAACATTTGGAAAATATTTGATTTTCACAATATTAGTAAACATTTTTTTATTTTCGTAGAATATGTAGCCGATTTTTTTTAACTATATCAAAAAAATAAGTAACATTTTTTTTGATTTTTAAATAAAATAAAATAATTTTTCACAATTTCAGAGCACAGCGGAAAAACGTCCACGAAGTCTGACTGCTCGACCACAACTAAAATCATTTCCGAACTTCTGGCACTGACGAGGTCAACTACTGCAACGAGCATGCGACACCCACAAAGGTGGATAGAAAGAAATTAAAGTTTCTGTAGGACAAGCAGACTACATGACGGCTCAATCTTTTTTTTTTTCTTCCTGGAAGGATATTTTTCATTGTTGCTATGTTGTTTATTAGGCGTTTTGTTTTTTTTTTTGTCTCTTGAAAAGATTAAAGAATTTAATATAGTTAAGCAAAGCAAACGATAAGGAGTTAAGTTTTAATAGCCAGGATTTTATATTCTAAAGAGCGAACTCACTTCAATGGACTGACTGTTAATATAGAGAGATAAAGTGCAATTCAAGTGAAATTTGATTTAATTTTAAACTTTTTCTTGTTTTAAAAGTGAATTCACTAAAAAAGTTTCATCTTAAGATAAATACTTAAAATTCATATCCCTTATTAGATTATATAAATAATTTTAAATTAGTATTTATTTATTTTTATATTACATACATTTTTTTGTAAATAAAATTTTATTTTTTTATGTGCTTTTATTTAAAACCAAAAATCATTTCAATTTAAATCAAATTAAATAGTTTCGAAATCTTTAAAAGATGATGCAAATTTTTTACTGGCATGAAGTCACCGACTGACAATATGATTTTATAATTTATTTTAACAAATCGTTTTTAAAAGGTATAGATATGCTCAAAAAGCATTGATTGATTATATTAGAATAGTTGTAAAATATATTGAAGAGTTAAACAGAATTCTTCACATAATAACATGTTCTTTTAAATGTCAGATCAAACTATTTCCGGCACATCGAAATAATTTTCCTGAGTTATTGGGAATTAATTTCAAAGTTTTTCTATATTAGACGTTATGGGATTCTATTTTCTTTTAGATAAAATAAAAAAATTGGTTGTGAAAGGATTACAGTATATAACGGATTACAAATTTTTTAAGTAACCAGATTTCTACTGATTAAAAACGATATAACTTCTAATGGGTGTTTTGTTTTCTGCCTTTTAACACTCTCCTTAGACTTTTGTTTTCTTACTACACTTTTTTTAAGAAAATAAAAATGATACATAACTTAAAAAAAGAGCCCCGAGATATGGGAAAACACATAAATTTTAAAGCTGTCCCGTTAAAATCGGCATGGAATTGACTCGGCTACCCAATAACAGATTTTAAATACAGATTATGAGTCACTTCCGTCTACTTATTGGGTTCTTTTAAACGCACTAAAAACTATTTTTATAAACAGGACATTTTTCAGTTCTTTCGCAAAAATTAGACAGAAAACTTAGGAACGGGACAATCGCATACAAAATGCGACATATGGTAGTTACCTTATATATACATGATATAAAAACATATGATATAATATTTCATTTAACAGATGAAGAGTATCTACAAGATATTTTCAGTTCTGTCGTAAAATTAGTACAGAAAACTTAAGAACAGGACAATCGTATTCACAATGCGACATATAGTATATAATATTTCATTTAACAGATGAAAAGTATCTACAGGAATCCATTTTTCTTTGATGGATTTGCCCTTTAATGACTAAATAAATGACATTAAATAAATATAAAAACTTTTTAGTTTAAGCTCCAATTAAGGAGTTAAACTTAAAGTGATTAAAATTTTCCTTTCTTAATGATTCGATTATTGTAACTTGAAGTTTAATTTATTACTAACATAAAACTCCATATTAAAGCAGATTTAAAGCGTTTTACCAGATACCTTGGTATTGAAGACATTGTTTATGGAAGCTATTTTTAGCTCAAAAAATTTCCCTCGATAGAACAACAAAATTTAAAATGTGCTCCACTACAAATATAACAAATTGTCCTGGAAAAACAGCACATGGCCCAACGTCAATAAAGGACGAAGTGCTTGGCAATGGTAAGAGAAGCAAAAACAAAAACAAAAGAAATCAAAGCAAATAAAACGAAAACACAAGAAATAAAAAAAATTGATAAGACCTGGTGTCGCCGCATAGAATAAAGTTGATTGTAGTAGTACTGCAGTGGAGCAAGTACACATACACAAACACACATACACACACACATACACAACGATGTGCAAAATGGTCTCGCATATTTTAGTGCAGCACACAAACAAAAGCGACGGGCGATTATGGCGGTGCCAGGCACACAACGGGTGTGAGTCTTAATTAATTAATAATTATTTTAATACAATTATATAAATTGTGTATGGCAACGCTGGTTAGAGCAATTACTACTCCAACTTAAGCATTTAGTGGACTTGGGACTTAGGGCTTAGACTTTAGACTTTTATTGTATATTTTTAGTTCATTCGTTCAGTGGCGCTTGACAAATAAAAATAAAAACACGTTGCAAAGCGTTTTTGTTCTGTTTTGTTTATAAATAAATAAACCCAAGGTCCTTTGAGCACGATATGCTCATATTATGATTAATTTTCATTTTCATTTTCAGTTTCAGTTTTCTATTATTTTATTTTATCGTAGAATAGATAGATAGATATACCATATGTACTACATGTTTTGACTTTGTGTTCAAATTCACACAGTAGAAAGGATCTCCATGACAAATTTAATGACGAAGCCTAAAATAATTGTTTTATTGGATTTTGTTAATCCTTTAATAAAAAGGGATGAAAAGTAAGAAATATAAATTAATTACTGTCTTTACAATTAACAAAAAGGATCTGAAAATAAAATTGTTTACAATTACTTGTTGCTTTCATCAAAGATACACACTGCCTAGTCATTGAATGTTTTTAATTATTTTAGTAAGATTATTTAAAAAAAAAATATTAAAAGGATATAAAGTTAAAAACAAGAGAGTATGTTGAAGCTTGAACACCCTTTACACCCCTTCAAATGTTACACAAGCACTCATATATTAACTAAAACGAACGCAGGAAGTACAGATATTGTAACAATAGTTCGAAAAAATAAAAATAAAACTTAAACCTGTTAAGCACTTAATGATATTCCTTGAAGACTTTATGTAAATATTATTACAAAGATAATTTTTCACTTACTTACATAACCACAGTAGACAAAGAGAGAAACTAATAGTTTAAATGTAGTCATGGTTGAAATTTTATATCCAATCTACACAGCACATTTTTAACCCTCTAGCCTAGCTCACTTTGATCCTCAAGTGTTACGAGCTTCTATAGGTATTTTTAGCTCGAAATAAGGTAAGTCTTTATTAGGTTCTGGGTCACCAGACGGTCTTGGGAAATCAGCAAGCTATTGACTTAGCCAGAACCATATCAAAAACTGCTGTTACAGACCCTCAACGCTTTTGTGGGTTGAACTGGAACAGTATAAAACCAATAATCAAGGAGAGGGAGAATGGTTTGCGTCAGGTGTACTGGGAAAATTTCCCTGGACTCAGACAAAGTAAAGCACTGTTCAAACCATACTTCTACAAAAACATTCCACGGGTTCCATTACGTCTTATTATGACCTGAAGGGGAAATGTCTACACAGCTTAATAAACTATAATACGTGTAAGTAAATGTTTTTAGGAATAGAGAATTATTTTCTATTCTTATATACGCTATGCTACATTCTAGATTTGACCATATTTTCTGTTTTCTTAACCTGTTTGCAAGGAAACCAAACTTAGCAGCATGTTATGGGTTAAAACAACAACATCCAGAATAGAGAGGTAATTATGATAAGTAATATAAATAGCGTTATAACCTTCTTAAGAAGACAGTATACTTTTTGAGACTACATTTGTATCACAACTAAATACATAAAATATATGTTCTAAATATACAACATATATAACAAAAACAGTCCTGATCCAATTGGGATATGGATATAGTCACATTCATCTATCTCCAATATGTACTGCTCTCAATCATCCTTTTGCCCAATTTGGAACAGAATGCTTTCTAGGTCGAATTATACTACAATGCATTGTATATGGTTTGAAGAGAGATGACTAAAAATGTGTCTAAATGTATTTAATGCTTAAGCATTTTAAAAGAAAGAATTAGTTTCTGATAAATTAGTGCCGCTCATTTCTTTCAACAGAAACAAAACTAGCCAAACAAAACTAGAAAAAAAACTTACGAATATAGCAAAAACAAAATAATACAATTATAGCTTAATTTATATAAACTTTAGTGGTTTTCAAGTATCCTTTTATAGTTGTTCCTTAACCGTACGTCTCGATTAAAAAACATTTACTACCGGCTCAACCGAAACCCTTTTTTTGACTTCTGCAGATTTGTTCATTTTAAAAGGACTTTGTCCACAGTCTTCATTTAAAACTAACAACGGTTATAGAGTTTATACAGTACTTAAGACATTTGTAGTGTTTACCTACACTGTCAAGTATAGATTATATATTTGCTAAGATCATTCCTCGCTTATATACCTGTATGTATTGACTTTTACGATTGCTTTTCAAAAATTTATATAATTTAATTTTGATATTTCAAACTGTTAATAATATTTTATTATGTACAAAATGTTATATTTTTATTAAACTATAGTGTCTATTTTTTCTCATACAAATACTACACCAAAGGTGAATATCCTCTTCAGTTTATTTATCAGATTCAGTTGTAAGTACTCATTTTTTTTGGTTTATAAAATCGGTTAAACAAATATTTAAATAACCTTATTTGAGCACGTTATGTGGTTTTTATAAAATTGTTATAAATTTCCAATAAACCACTAATTACTTCAAGCTTTATTTGTCTTATTTCAAGGTTTGGTTGATTTCCTTGAAAGGTGCGCCTATTTTTCAATAGAGGGGGTAACTATAATCCATCTAGTATGAAAGTCACGCAAGCCTTAAACTTGAAGTACATTTCTGTTTCCACAGTTAATATATTTTTTTTCTATAATTTAAATGTGAAATAATTTTATTTTATAGAATATTCGAAAAAAAATTGATGAGGCAGGTCAGAATCAGGTACCTGTCACGTGATTAGGAATATCAACAACTGTATTAAATTTCTTGGGAAAGGTTTTAAGGAATTTAGCTCAAATGGTAATTATGACTAAGTCAACATTTTAAAGGACAACTGATGCATCTAGAGGAAAATATTCAATTAAAATGATATCTGACAATAACAATAGTTTAGGTGGATATTGGTGGCATGTGCATCAGAAATGCACCACTTTTTTTTTTATAAATGTAAAGTAATTTAAGAAATTACAACCAACTTGTATAAACTTGGAGAATAGTAGATGTTTAAATTTAGATACTACCAAGGAACCCATTGCGCTTCAGAATAAATTTTCTTCCTCAAAAAAATCATGCAATGGAGTAACTTAAAAGTCCACACATCAGATGCTACTAAAATGGCATAAGAATATTGAAATGTATTATTCTAATTCTATATTGTCAGAATTGGTGTTATTTTTAAAATAGTTATATCTTTATTACTTTATTCTAGTACTTAAAGAAATTGCATATAGTGTTCAAAAAACAAAAAATATCTGTTATACTTCTTTAATTTTTTATGCAATTTACTTATTGTAAATGTTTAACAATACATTTACTAAAATTAGACTTTATTATAATGATTTTAGAACTTTTTATTTTATTAATATTAGAATAGTGAAATTTGTTGCAGCAACCAATAACACAAAACAATTTATTTGACATTAGCTGCCGCAGAGGAGCAGCACGAGATATTCACCACAGCAGCAACGCCAGAAGGTGAGCAAGACGTTGTCAGCTGTTTGATGACAGTCACATGACAGCAGCTTTGGATCGATAATTTTTTCATTCGCTCACGAGTTAAAATATAAAAACATTTTTTTTTTCCCAGATTTTTCAACAAGGCTTTTTTGTATACCAACAATGTTAGCTTATTTCTAAATAAAATCGTAAAACTCCTTTTAACAGATTTGTATTTAAAGATAAATTCACTAAACTTCATTAAAATATTTCAAAAATTATTATTTTGCACGTAGCAAATGGAGCAGGTGATTTTCATTCTTGCTTATTTTGTTGGAAATTGCTGGCACTTTCATGATTTTAAAATCATAACAATTATATTATATATAGTAATTTAAGTATATACTATATGCACATTTAGCCAATAAATAGGCATTTCATTATTTTTCAAGTCGTTTTTCTTATACACTTAAAAGTCATATATTTTATTCGTTTATTTTACATTCTATTCGACACTTACTTTTATTTTATTACACAGCAAAATTTGAATTATGATTATTCACTTAAAATTGGTCTATTTTAAATTACGTACTAATGGAGTTTGTGCGGAGGAAAATTATCTGAAAAAATTTTCACTGCCTAAATCAATTCGATGGCGATACAGCAAAGACAGACACTTGCACTGAAAAAAATTCAACATAGACGAAATATGATGTGAAGAATAATACGTAAAATTATGAAAAGGAATAAAGAATAATTCACGTGATTGGGATATTTTATGCAATTTTGACAGTTGACAAAGTTTGAAAGTCATTGCAACAAAAAAAATATAAGTACAATATAAAAGTTTTAAATTACCTGAAATTTTTACTCACATCTATTTTTGTTATAAAATTATTTTGTTATAAAAATTATTGCTTTAAAAAATATTCTTATAAATATTTCATTTTTGTTTTGAATATCATATAAGATCAATGTAATGTGTTTACATATATTTTTGCAAATATTGTTTTCATATGAAATGTCTACCAACAGATAACTGAACCCAAGATTAAGTAACTCACTTATAACAGTTCAGAAAATTGTTGTACAGTTTGAGAACAGTTCGTTTTGTTGCATGTAAATCGTAATCATAATTTAATGCAACAAGTTCCCCTATTTGTGATTCATTATCTTAATATGAAAAATTTTGATTTAATTAATGTAATTTACATTGAAAGTATTGGTATTCTATTTATATTATTAAAAAATAACGCAATTCAAAAATGAATGTTCGGAAAGAAAATAGTTGCTTGTACGTGATTATAATATCATAATAATTTTTTTTATTTGTGTGAATATCACGTACTTCAAGCGTCTATTATATACATATGTATATATGCATGTAAATAGTTTTTTTTATTTTTTTGTACAAAATTCTACGTTTCAAGTTTTGGTTATTTCTTTGGACAACACAAACTAAATATCATATACATATTTAACCATATCTCTACAGGATAATATTCTGGTTTCTTGTCATTTCCCTTCCTCAAGACTTCTTAGGAATAGATAGGGAATGTTTTTAGGCGTAAGCATTAACTCAATTGAAAATCCCTATTCCCTTTAATACTATTTAGAAACATACATACAATATAACCAGCTATTATCGTATCAAGCAGGGTAAGGGATATTCAAATAATTTGTTTTTTCTGCCTTAGTACGAAAACACTCATTCTTCGATGCAAGTATTCATTCACTTGAAATCTATTCATTTTTTTGCTATTCATATTTTACTCACTAAATTTTTTAAAACACTACTGCTTGCATATATGTATGTAGTATGTTTCGGTAACAGATTAGTAAAGAGAAACCATATATAAAGACAGAATATTTCTGGTGTAATTAGTTTGTAAGTTAATGTTTCGAAAGTTCGAAAGTTAAGATATATGTGTCATTCTAAAATATCGCTAAGTAGAGGTTATATAGTAGACTAAAATCTTTTGAAAAGCAAATCTAAAAATGACAATTACTTAAAGCTTTGATAAGAATCATTGCTAAGGGGAAGTCCTACAGCAGAATAATGTGAAGTGACAACTACTTTCTCAGACCTACGGTAGGTATGATTGAAAGGAATGTTTAAACTCAAGCAAAGGTATTTATTTAATAGTAATAGTGATTCAACAGCAAACTTACTTTGACCTTTCATCTTTATGGGCTATCTACAGAGATTATTTAGATGAAGTCCTACAGCTACCTAAGAAGTCTTGCCTTTATAAAGTAAATCTAGAAAGTGATAAATACATTCTGCTTGAATTATTGCTAAGGAGAGCTTCCACAGTTGCTTAAGTCCCTAAAAAATGAAATTTAGAAAATGGCAACTACTTTCTTACAAGTGTAGCAGGAATCATTGAAAGAAAGATTTGATCTTTAAGAATAGGTACCTAACCAAATGTAATTCGTTAGTTCTTAAGTACTGAAGGACTGATGTATTTTCTTGCTATCTCAATGATATAAACAGATTCTTATTGAGAAGAAGCCAAGGTACGTATAGATGTATGTATATAGTTGAATCTTTCCATCTCGTATTAAATAAGCCACTATAGTAATTTTTCAATAACTGTTTGTAATTATATCTTTAATTATTTAATGATATAACATATCATAAAATGTGTTGAATCAATTTCTGAGTCATAAATAGAGACTTCTTTGGCTTTAGTCTACATATGTTTTTTATAATTTAAATATTAACGAATTAGTAGGATATTTTCTAAACTGAACACAGTTCCGCATTTTCCGACGGTTGTGTTGTCTTAGTCAAATGCAGTCACTGAATTTGTGAATATATTTAGAACAGGATGAGATTTCTAGTCATATCTACAGTTGATCTATATTAGAAGTATAATATTGAAGTGGTTGGTATTGATTCTGCCCGATATTAACAACTGTCTAAGGAAAGCTTTATATGAAAGGTGGATTGTCTTATTTTGGTTGGGATTAATTGTGGTTTGCAGTACTCTTGCTCCCTGGTGATATTTTTGATATTACTTTGATATTACGTTTTTGATATTACTTGCTCAATATCACTTAAACTATTATACGATAGTCAAAATACTCAAAACCGAAATGAATTTGTCAACAGTGTAATGTAATTAAGTAGTGATCATAATGGATACCCCTAACATATTCCATACCTACTCCGGTTATTGTAGTCTATTTACAGACTTACATTTGAATGAACAATATATAATCTGAATCAATAGATAACATTTATGTTGGCATTTTTATGGTCAATATTATCAAGTGGCATGCATATCTGCTCAGCTATCATATCATCTGAGCTAGAATCAATATTTTCAATCATCCACAGCTAATTTGGAGTGCTATTGTTATCTGACTGAAACGATAATAGATTGATTGATTGTAATTGCCGATTTGGACGTACGAGTATTTCTGCAATTTGAAATATTTATTAGCGGCAACTTGTGAGCAATCCAATCACTAAATGCAATACGTATATATATTATATTACTCGTACTAAAATAAATTGTTGAGCAAATATTAATTACTTAAGTGAAGTAAGTACATTCTATTGCGGTTGCCGTTGTCAACAACTTGTTCAGAACTGGGTCAAAATTATACAACCTCTCTTTTAGATATTCATCCATACGATTGTGTACTTTTTCTTCTTCTTCTTGAGTACAAAATTTGAACACAACACACTTTTAGTTCTAATATGAAAATTAAAAAATCTATCGTTTCGATCGGAATTTCTAGGTTAGTATAACTTTTAGATTTTATTAAATAAATAGTAACCTCCAAAACAAAAGGTTCTTGAAATTTGAGTACCTATTTGGAAACATTTGTATATTTCGTAAGTTTTTCATATTTAATTAAATAATAAAATAAAATAAAATAAATGAACACTTTTGTATATTATGTTAGATCAGTGTTATTGATTACTTTGTATTATTTGTGGAACTCCCATAGGTATAAAAAACAGATATATGTATA